AAATAAAGAAAAAAAAAAAAACAACCCTATATCTCTGCAACATCTGTGAAGAAATAATAACAAAAAAAAAAAAGCTTTCTCTAGATCACTGTTTGAATCCCTCAATTACAAATTTTGAAGAATGCAGTAAATTGAATTACTGTGAAATAAATTTCTTTAGTTTCCTCCACAACTCTTGCAGAGGCTAAACTCATACTGAAATATAAATCTGAGTAGAATGTATACTACCTGACTTTCTTAGGAAGAAATTCTAGTCTATATCTCAGCTGATGAATACAACATTAGGAGGTATATCCAAGAGCATCTAAATTACTGAGTCCCACAAATATTTTGACAAAGCTTCCTTGATGTACAGAAGTACATAAATCTTATACAAATCGATCTGCCTCTGTCTATCAATGACCTTCTGTTCTGTACATAGATTGCTCTATAAAATATATTTCATTGTTATAAATAAATTATCCTTTAAAATAATCATTCTAATAAAAGATACACTAACAGCCTTTCAACAATGCAAAATTTTGATTCTTTTAATCCCAATTCTGAATATTTTTAATAATATTGATATTTTTTTGCAACAGTCAATTGTCTGATAATTTTCTAATCTAGGGATAAATAAAAGCAAGTAAGAAAAATGTTTCTGTCAGAAATATCATAAGTCAATGGGCTAGATTTTAAACCAATCTGTTATAAAAAACAGGTCAGATATCTTAAACAAGGTACTATACATGCAGCTTAAAAACAAAGGTTTGGGGTGGGTTGTTTTTTTTTTCTTTTTCTTTTTCTTTCTTCCTTTTTTTTTTTTTTTTTTTTAGAAATATATGCCTTACATTTCCATGAGTCTGTACTGAAGACAGTAAAAGCTATGAAATCATCTAAACAAGGTTTTAAAGTGATTTATCTGATGATTTAGGTTAGACATTTAAACAGTAAAATCTAGATAATTTAGCTATGATGAAAACAGCCTAAATCTTCAGAAACCCCTTGACACTTTATTTAATGACAAGGCTCTTATGTA